AATATGTTATTTGTAGAGACATTATATAGTTTTTTAATCATATAATATAAATATGCACACCACAATTATCAATACACAAAATATATATCATATCACACACACGTACATATGTATATATAACACGCTGAATGTATCTAATAGATATATATATGTATTCTATTATATAGATAATAAATATATATATATATATAATGTTTATATATGTATATGTATATGTATGTATATATATATAGACAGAGAGAGAGAGTGTGTGTGTAAATTGGCCGCCAAACCCCGTGGTCGCCAGGTATTCCCGGATTTCATGGAGACCTCTCATCGAAGAGTCAAGCGCTTTGGGCAGTTCACAATGAAAGGTCAACAGTCGGAATGGCTCAAAAATGTGGAATCAACTTGCAGTTTGATGCAGTTTGCCCACAAATGAATACAAATGATGCAATTGATTTACTGTTCCAATGATTTGGGTTTGTCCAAAAATAGGGTATCCCAAAATTATCCAATATCTGTGCGTTTTGCCACAGGGATTACACCCCCATATCTGGACAAGCCCCAGGCTCAGGTGTGAAGATTTTTTTGTTGAGCCACGGCCACGTCATCTCAAAAGAGAAAATTCGCAAGCTCTCCAATCTTTCACCCTTGAGTATACACTCACCCTTGGGCTACCCTTGGCTCCTGATTTTTTCTTCGTTGTCATGTGACAGTTGACTTAGACTTAGAAATGAAAAAATCATCACAACTGCCTCCAGAAGTTCGAGTTTCCAGGTGAGTGAGCTTGCATCGATTTGCCGCGCGTTTGGCTGTTGTTGGCGCAGCTCAGAGATTTCCGCATGCCAAGGAAATGGGAATGACGACTTACCTACCAGAATCTACCATGGAACCTCCAGATTGCCATGGAGCACCCGATGAACACCGCGAGGCCATGACCCCGGAAAGAATGGAAAGATTACAGAAATGCCTGGTGATGCATGGCGATTTGGCATCCACATTATTTTAACTTTCGGCCAAAAATTAGATTGAACTACAGTGTCATATTATCTGGTTGGTGGTTTTAATCATCATGAAAAATATTAGTCAATGGCAAGGATTATCCCATATAGTATGGAACCACCAACCAACCAGTTACAGACATTTATAGACTGTATAAATATATAATATACACTTACCACTTCTCATTTTTCACAAATGCGGCCAAGGCCTCGCGTTGATCAAGTGGCCTCGCCACCGGCGCCAGAGTGCGGGACACGAGTCCCAACTGTGTCGACCCAGCCGCGAAAAGAATCCGAAACGTGATTGGAGACGGCCCGTTTGAAAGTCGCACATTTGATTTCCAGGGTAAATGACAAAATATGACAAAACACTTGTGGAATCTATAACGCCAGAGTACATATACAGCAAATATGTTGTTATATCATATCTGTGCATATCTGTGCGATTCTGTGCGCATCTGTTGACAAATGGCGTGAGTGCGTGTCCATGTGTGTATATGGGCGGGGTTGCGTGTCCAAACTCAAACCGAACAAGTCTATCCTCCTCAATGGGGACTTCAAAGGATGCCACACAGTATTGGAAATCATCGTGTGGCCATCTTGGCCAAATGGCTGGTTCAAGCTGATTCCACACTATTCAACAATTTCATCTGCGAGAGAAAGGCAGATCCGTCTGCCAGGTGTTTTGCCAGACTCATAAGGTCGATATATGATCTACTGATTTCGCAGCTGGGACATGGGAACGCTTTGATGCACGAAATCGGTGGTTGGCGGAAACTCCGACGGCAACACATGATTGGATGGTCTCAAAGGCACAAAAATATCACAAAGGTCGCCGCAATCTACTTCATACCGTAGATGGATGATGAAATCAAACCCTTGCTGTATTGTTGTCAACCCCCGCACCCCCAAATTTCAATGTTGTCTTTGGGCTCCGCGCTTGGCACCGGTGGACAAAAAAATCAAACCCTGAACACAGAGGAAGCTAGATAGAGTTTTGTTCAACATTGAATTTGGGGTGTTGGGTTTTACTTGGTAGATGTCTGTAGGGTTTGATTTGTTTGTCCATCTACTGTCTCATGCTGATACGTTTTTTTAACTCTCGACGAACGGAACCTATAGATACAGGATCTCTGGCACAGGACATTCTACAGATATCCTTGTAAAGGCGTTGCGGACAGCAGTTTCTACAGAGATCCTGTCAAGGAGATCTTGCACACGATCTTCTCCCCTTCACAAAGGGAACTTGCAGAAGCTACCGTGGTATCTTTGTCGCGGTCGCCAAGAATGGTACAAATCCCTGATTCCATATTGCCTAATTCCAAACTCTATTTCCATTTCTATTGCCCGTTCTATTGCCAATTCGTATTGCCTAATTCCGAGCCCCTGTGTTTTTACAGTTATAGTGCGGCTGCTCATTCCATAGATTCAAAAACGTAACAAAAGAGATTACCTTTTTCTTCTCTTGCAAATGCCTGAGCGCCTTCCTTTTACCAGTAAAAACACAGGAAATCGGAATTAGGCAATAAGAGAGCAATAGGATAGGCAATAGAAAAGGAAAAATAGGGTTTGGAATTAGGCAATATGAAAACACTGGGATTTGTGCACTGGAGAGTCCAAATCCCGCACCTGTCACAAAAATGTCCGTCTAGGTAATAGAAAGGAAATAGAGTTTGGAATTAGGCAATATGAAAACACAGGGATTTGCACACTAGAGAGTCCAAATCCTGCACCTCGCACAAAAATGCCCGTCTAGGTAGAAAAGGAAATAGAGTTTGCGCCTGTCCCACAAATGTCCGTCCAAACCTATGTATGCAATCCGGGCATGTTCGACGAACGGAACCTATAGATACAGGATCTCTGGCACAGGACATTCTACAGATATCCTTGTAAAGGCGTTGCGGACAGCAGTTTCTACAGAGATCCTGTCAAGGAGATCTTGCACACGATCTTCTCCCCTTCACATAGGGAACTTGCAGAAGAGACCGTGGTATCTTTGTCGCGGTCGCCAAGAATGGTACAAATCCCTGATTCCATATTGCCTAATTCCAAACTCTATTTTCTTTTCTATTGCCTATTCCTAGTGCCTATATTCCTATTGCCTAATTCCGGTTCCCTGTGTTTTTACAGTCAAAGTGCGGCTGCTCATTCCATAGATTCAAAAACGTAAAGAAAAGAGATTACCTTTTTCTTCTCTTGCAAACGCCTGAGCGCCTTCCTTTTACCAGTAAAAACACAGGTAATCGGAATTAGGCAATAGGAATAGGCAATAGAAAAGGAAAAATAGGGTTTGGAATTAGGCAATATGAAAACACAGGGATTTGTGCACTGGAGAGTCCAAATCCCGCACCTGTCACAAAAATGTCCGTCTAGGTAATAGAAAGGAAATAGGGTTTGGAATTAGGCAATATGAAAACACAGGGATTTTCGCACTAGAGAGTCCAAATCCTGCACCTGTCACAAAAATGTCCTTCCGAACCTATGTATGCAATCCGGGCATGTTCCAGCCAGCTGCCAAGGATAATCCTAAAAGTGTGCCATGAGATCTGATGTGTGCAAGGCTTCGCCCTTGCCCCCGGACCGTAGATGGACGATGAAATCAAACCCTTGCTGTGTTGTTGTCAACCCCCGCACCCCCAAATTTCAATGTTGTCTTTGGGCTCCGCGCTTGACCGGTGGACAAAAAAATCAAACCCTGAACACAGAGGAAGCTAGATAGAGTTTTGTTCAACATTGAATTTGGGGTGTTGGGTTTTACTTGGTAGATGTCTGTAGGGTTTGATTTTTTGGTCCATCTACTCTATGTTCCTATATAAACATTAATTATTCAACTCCTGTCATCACCTCTTTTGAGCAGCTAACATGTTCTAACCGCGAAGCATTATTGAACTACCAAAAAGTGTCAACAAGCAGTGGTTACATTGATTCACCAAAATGTCTCAAAAAACGATGTCTACTTACATATGTTTGGAAATGTTTGGAACACATAAAGACCATAAAACAACACATGGGGAAGTCAGTTGGACCGTTGGACCCCTGATTAGATCTGGTGTGGTCAGTTGCCCCCCTGATCCCATCACATCACCGCCTTGCCATGCGTGAGTGCTGGGTGAAACTCTGTGCCGTGCTGAAGGGTTGCCCAGCTGGAAGCCAACAACTTGGGGAACTCACTTCATCTCAGTTCCATTGCTTGACATACAAGGTGGTGCCCAGTTCGAAGTTGGTTCGGAACCCCCAAAAGAACTCTGGATATGTGTTTTCTACGCCTAGGTATTGGAGTTATAGATCAACTTGACTTAGCCAAGTATGGGGCACCATCCTTTTAATGATGGATTTAAAGATATCTAAAGGTCTACACGTTCAATCTCAGCAGAACACAGGGATGGGCTCATCAATGGCGCTCATCAATGGCTGGGCATCCGTTCATGAACTAATCACAAAAGAAAAGTCCGGTGCACTACGCAATAAAACGCCGAGCTCAGGGTCCATACGGTTGATCCTCATGGGTCCTTCAAAACATGGCTAATCCATGCTAATCCTAGATACCATCTGCTGGAGAAAAGCTTCCGTGGGATACTACAGTATACACATTTCTGCTTTTAGGGCTAGAATTCCACCCACTGACCTACTGTACCACTCACCAGTCCCCAGTGCCAATGCTAGCGCATATGTTCCAGGACTACTCAGTGGGGCCAACCACGATTTGAACTCTCCATCGGCATCTCAACTTTAATATCACGCCACAAGTCAAAGTCTGAAAGCTGGGGGGTCCTTAACTTTTGACTCGTACACAATGTCAAACAATATCAATTACCGTAGATATGCTTGTCTGTCGGCTTTGATTCCAATGATCATTCCCCAGATTCAGAAAATCCCAGTAAAATATGTTGGGGATTTCACCTAGTAATAAGTTAATTCCTTTTGAATAAAAGCAGGGTTGATAATCATTGATAAATCCTCACTTAGCGCTGTTGACTTTTTTGTTGCCACGTTGGCTCGGCTTTACCGTGACCACACTCAGCGCTCCACGGCGATCTGTCGACGCATCGGGGCGGAGAAGAAGAACTCGGAGGCCATAACCTGCGGTTCTAAAGGTAGCCAAGTTTGTTTGTAACTACAATAACTAAGGTTTATAGTGAAAATAACCATAGTTGGATGGGGATATAAACAAACTTATAACTAGGGGGCCCCACTGTGCAGGAATGCTGTGACAATCTTAAGTTGAAGACAAATGGGTAGATGTCATGTAAAACGACGTATCTCTATACACACGTGATTGTGAATGTTAATATATATTGTGCCGGTGAAGATATGGACGTAGAAAACAGAATTTGTATACACACATGATTATTTTTTCCGCACGTAGGTGTGAAGATGCGCATGTGACGTATGTGTTTAAGTTTACCCTCTGGTAATTTAACATAACTATGGAAAATCACCATGTATCATGGGAAAATCCACTATTTCTATGGTCATCTATGGTCATTTTCAATAGCTATTTTGACATAACCAGAGGGTATTGTTTTCCTCATTGCTAGTCGACGTGCACAGAAAATGCCAGAAATGCCCAGCACATCATCGAGTCATCGCCGTCATCGCCCAGCCTGGATGGCTTCGTCCATGCTGATGTCATTCTGCTTCTGAGCGCCAAGAACTGTGGGATGAGAAACCTGAAACGAAGCTGATCAAATGGGGCCAAGATGAGCCAAGATGAGCCAAGAATAGGACTTGAATTTCTGAATCAAAGCCAACACTTCAAAAAGTATTTGAAAATAAGAGTTTCTGGGCATATGAAACTGCATGTTCATATCTGCAGCCTCTTTAGCATCCATCAGAAGATGGTCTAGAGTCTATACAAACGCTTTCTCCCTATGCATATTTCTGAATCCTCCAGGTGGTCAAGTTCTGCTGTCCTTCAACCAAGGGGCTCCGGCTACAAACAGCACATCGTCCAGTTCTACCTGCTTCAGAGTAAGAGTGCCTCAGGTGTCGTGGTACGCCATGGATAGGGTTGGCTTCGGTCGTTCTGAAAGTCGGAAATTTTCAACAGCGGAAATGGGATTCTAACCCAATCAAACCGCCAATTCGACGAAAACAATTATGCAATATCATACACGAATATGTGTGCATATATATATACATATATGTGTGTGTGTGCGCGCCTAGACCTAGAAAAATACAAACATTCAACTTTGACCAGCGAACAACAGATACTCATGTTACCACTAGATTTGGATGGTTTGACTCTGTTCATTGCGATGTTGTACCAGTAATGGAGAGATATTCCCAAAGTGAAAATCAGCCTGCGTTGGGGGTGCTTTTCCGGAAAATTACTAAAAGTCATCTAAAGCCTCTTATCTTTGAGGTTGTTGATGTTCTTGTGAGTTCTCTGAAGTTCTCTGATTTCTTTCCCAGGATCGTTCACGACAAGTTGCAAGGAATGAGTTCCCCAGACCTACTGTGAAGGTCCGCCTCCACCACGACTTCGCCGAAGGATGCGCCACCTGTCAACCTGGCCTGGCATGGGATCCATGGGATCCATGGGATCCATGGGATCTTGGAGGTTTAGACTATCTCAGGATATCTCAGGCACTACATGGTAGTAAATGGTTGATACATGTTGATACCCTATGATAACTGGGTTAAACGGTTATACCATGGCTTATTACTCACTGTCGCCCTGGCACCTTTGGCACCTTTGCCGCCAAGCGACTCTTCGATAAATTCACCTTGCCGGCCTGCTTCCCAGAATGCCTGAGCTAGATGGCACAACGAACGGTGTTGAACCGATCCCAAACACATCTCCGAGGACAAGTATCCAGAGATTATAGATTAACAATGATTGTGACATATCAAAAATCATGAAAAGTCAGGCTTTCGGAGAATTACCAGCCTTCCCCTTACGGGCCCCTCACTGTACCCTTCTCCCTTGGTATAAAAACACACTCTGGGCTCAAGGGGCGGCAAGATCTTTTGCGCTTGTGGTCGGACACTTCGCCTTGGCAACGACACATCTTTTTACCTCGCGATATGCTGAGATCGAATGAGGGTATAATGGGGGGTATTACATGGGATGTAATTGGAGATATACAATGTAGCAACATGTAGTAACCCCCAAAAAGAATAATCCCCAATTGTCGTTTATTTTTGGGTATTCCATGGTATTCCAGTATACCCCTGAGCCTTATACCCCTCTGACTGGGCTAATTCAAAATGAAAGCCAAATGGTTGGTAAATGGGAAAGTTTATGGCATTGGGTTTACCACATTAAACTATGGTTAATCCGGATGTGCAAACAATTGAAACAAATACGACAGGACCAGCATGTTCGCAACATGTTAGCTAAAACTGTTTATATAATGCACTATCTCTGTTGCTCTATTCATCGTACATATAAAATGATTTGTGCGTACCTTTGCATTGCAGAAAGAAAAATAAAAACACACACATATATATATATATACGCATTCAGGTTCAGCTCTTGGTGCTTTGAAATCTCTAAATAAAGCGTTGAACAGGTTCAGCTGTTTATTTTAAAGAGGATTGCTGTTATGGTCATGGCTTGAAAGCCCCTCCTCCCATCAGGTGACCCGGGGTCGCAGAATCGCAGGCCCAAGTGGCATTCAAAAACAATGAATCGAAGCTGGTGAGTAGCAAATCGTCCGTGGTCTCACAGGCAAACTTGTGGCTCCCAAGGACAATAGGTAGCTCCTGGCCCCATCATGTTCCAGTTGAAGGATCCCAGCAACCAGTCTGGTTATATGATAAGCATTGATAAGCCCGGTTGTAGTTGTCCCGTATATCCCCATCTATTTTCATGGGTATCCCATTGCAGAAATCCCAATGCTTCCGAAGCAGGATTCCTTGATCCATCAGCCCTGCGGTCCTGGTGCCGTGGATCCAGGATGAAGAAACTGAAGGGCAAATTGCATAACGGTGAACAGCAAAGTGCTTCAGGCAATTCCTGGAAGATCTGGAAGGAATTGACCCTGGTTTTCTCATGTTTTCTCTGGAAATGCCAGGGGGAAAATATTCAAATCCACTGGTGGATCCAATTCTTATTCAAGTGGGGTAACACTTTTAGCATATCTTAGCCGGAATCTTGGGAAAATACAACTCCACTGGTGAATCATAATTTTCTCTTACCCAAAAATAAAATAGCCATAACTTTCGGGTGAACCCCCCCATTCTCTGAAAAGGCCATGTCGGAAAATCTGAGAAGGGTGTAGGATGTTGCACATCGACCATCATCAGTTTTTTTTTCCCAGTCATGCACTAGTCATCCAAGAATTTAAACAAATCCAGACAATAACCGTGCATAAACAAACTGTCTATAGAACAATGGCCAGTTTCAATTCGTTTCGATTCGTTTCAATTCCAATGATCAGCGCAATGCTGCATGGAAATGGAGTGCACTCCTATCCCTGAGTGAGACCTCCAATTTGGGCCTCCAAAAAGGAACAGAATAGGAACAGATTCAGCACGAAAGAATGAAGCTATCAATCCATCCATCATGTCCATCAAACCTATACTAGGTTTTAATACACAAAAACATGTAAATTCCAAGTAAACTTGCCATGCTGTTGAATTAAACCCGTACCTACGAAGTTCTATTCCATTCTATCTGTATCATTCCATCATTTCCCTATGGAGAAAACAGACCAGGTCACCAGCCAAGCCACTTCGCATTGAACATCCTCATCGAGCTCTAGGAAGAGGTTCCGATCCCGATCCTGAGCCAGGTCGTTCCAAGAAGATAGGTGAAACATGGTCAAACAACCCAAAAAATGATTCACTTTATTCCAAACATGTAATGTTTCTAGGAAAATCTCAGCATTGCGCTCACGTACATGTATCAAAATGTAAGGTATTTTCACCGAAAACCACCTGAAACAACGAAATTTCAGATTTGCGGGTGTTTGCAGTTTTGTCCTGGGAGTCTTGAAGACCAAAGTAGTATCAATCTATAGAGGTGTTTTGGGTAAAATTTATCGATATAGGTCAAACTCCGAAAACACTGATATTTTCCTGGCATTTGGAGGGACTAGGTGTGTATATAGTTTGTACCTCCAAGATCCTCTTATATTGATCACCATTGTTTTGTTTTTTTCTGTTCATGTATTTCATGTTTTATCATGGGTCAAGCATCAATCAAAAAATTGACAGAACCCTATGGGTAGAGCAGCATCAAATCGATAAAGGGGTCAAAAATCAGCGACTGAAACTCACATTTCTGCCTTTTTTTTTCCTTGCGTTTTCTCTCAAATCTTCGAACAGGTTTATAAAGGGAACAATGTGCAGGAACCCCCGTATTCAGAGGTGAAAACGGTTTGATTTAAAATTTCCCTTAAACGACTTAAACATCTTACATAACCAAATCTATCCAAATCTGGCATTCTTAGATAGCTCTGATAACTCTGCTATATGTTGACCAATCAATGCCTGCGCATGCCGCACCCATGAAGCCCCACGGTTCCCAGGACCGGCCCTTCGGGCCGAGGAACCTCAGAATCGCTTCGCTCTGTGCTCTCATCCTTGGTTTTCACGTCGGAACGTGCCAGGGCGCCTGGCCGTGCACTGACAGACCCACGATTCCAGTTTGAAAAAAATATAAATCTCATAGGTATTGTTCACCCCTGCACTTTCTGCTGCTTGCCAAATGTTTGGAACACGTTCAAATCATTTCAAACGCCTTTGTTTCAAAAACCCTTGGATTTCGAAACCAAATCATCGCTTTCCATGGCAATCACCAGCTTGATTGCTTTGTTAGGGCTGCAGTTCCAGTGGATTAAGTGGATACACACACACATAATAGATATATATATATATAATATATATATATATATTATATATATAATGATTTATAACATTTTATAACCATATCAATCATATAGCATAGTTGCAAGTTATAGGGCTGCGCAACCAACTGGAGGTGAACTCACCATGCTTATTTCATGTTATTTTGTCATTTTTCTGGTCCTGGATACCCCTGGCGCCCAAAGTTTCGATCCCAAGGATCGGTGCCTAAATGAAAGCAAGGCTGCCTCGGGCTCCATGGGCTCCATGGGCTCCTCCCATGGCGATGGAAGTTTTTCGAAACGAAGGCAAGGTCCAAAATGATCCAAAAGGTGATGTTTAAGATTGTTTAAGGATGATTTGGATAGATTTGGATGATATAGATGGGGAAATGATGAAAAACATGTTTGATGGTTATTCTGTCAACGTGCTCACTGTGTTTTTTGTTTTTTTTCTGATGATTTCAATCGGGGGGACTTAATTCGACAACCATCGATTGGGGATGTAATCGTATTACGTGTAAACATGTGTAAACCCGGTCATTTTTGGGTGATATAATGGGATTTGTTGGGATGTTATATATAACAAAGGTGTTTTATGAGCATAGTGCATTTACCATCAATTTATCATGATCATAGTGATCATGCAAGACTGGCATGGGATAAGGCAGCACCTTTGTTGACTCAAAGTTGTATTTTGCAAAATAAACCGTGGAGTTTTGTTTGAAGAGTCTTCGCGCTATTTGTTCAAAGGCCAATACTTTCTCCTTTGGTGATCAAACCTGCCAATGGAAAATCCAAGAAAATTATCTTTCAATTTAAAACGCTTCAACGTTGGCTTCATGATGTCTCCATCAAGAATACGGGTGCCATAGGGAGAAAGACTAGACTACTGGGGATAGTGCGTGAGAGTCCACTCAAACCAAATCCTCAACCCTTGCTGTTCCGAACCTGTACCTGGTGGTTTTAAACACAATGCATTCCAGAACGCCCACATATGGCATTGTACCCACCGGTCCAAGCCACGAAGTTTGGGTTGCTTTCTGATGCGAGAAAAGGGGTCTCTAGTTCATCCCAATGTTATAGGGCTATGGCCGAAAAAAAACACGCAGGTTTGTCCGGCTTTGCCCACTGGCCTCTCAAAACCCTTGGCATTTTCTGAAGTTTGAGAAACGTCCGTCTTTCGAGCAACGCTCGACATTGAGCATGCGGTGCCTCGCAAATGACATTCGGCCCTAGACCTGCCATGGAAAATGTGCGCCCAATATTTGATTCTGGAAGTGAACGTATCGGGACCCATTTGCTGGACGACTTGCTCGAAACAGTTCAAGAAGTGCCTTTTTTGCTGGTGCATACATATGGGCATGGGCCGAATGTAAGTGTCAAACAAACTGATAATGTTTAACGTTTAAAAAAACAGATCCAACACATGCCCCTGGGTCCCAAATCTCGTCCTAAGGCTGTTGAACATGAATTAATTTTACTGTACGAGCAAATATGCCTCTTGTCCAAAGAAACCACTGGGGTTGGCAAAGTATGGCTACATGGATGTTTGTGCATGAAAATCCTGTACCATTGGCGACAAAAACATCTCAAAACATCAAAAACACAACGCCTATATACACTGAAAATGAATGGTGCGGGCCTTTGGCAGGTTAAAGATGTCAAATGTGATATCAAATGATGGGAAATTATGTTAAATGATGTCAATCATGTTAATTTTAAATGACGTTAAATGTATTATGGATTATTATTGGTCAACTCCCCCAAATTCTTGTTGCTGCCAAGGCACTGACACTTGCAATCGTTTGCTCTTCTGCCTCAGCATCAGCTGGTTGTTCATCATCCTTTCCCCTATGAAAATTGGCAAAACTGGGCGGTATGTCCTATTGTTCCCACACACACACACATATCCGCCAGTAAACTAACACATCTATGGAAAACATATGAAAACATCTGAACACATCTGAAAAACTGTGGTCTTTCACCCATCTTTCACCCTTTGCCGCACCATTCCAACCTGCTCACTGCTGCTGTGAGGCTGAACGTAACTTCTCAGGTTTGCCGCAAGAGTTTTCGTCCACTAGTGTTTTGGTGATCTTCTCCTTTTCCAGCAGAGGGGCTGATGTTTGATGATGTTTGACTGTTTGATTCCAATGAAAACATGAAGACAATAAAGCGCCAGGAGCCATATGAGATCATATATATATATAAGAGTGTTCAATGGCATTTCCTTACAAAAGGCCACAAAAACAGCTAGCTCTCTGAAAGGTCTCTAGAGACGCACGTCTCTTGTGCCATTTCTGCGACTGATGTAGCTACCATGCGTCATGTTGTCATGGAACCGACACCAATTGCCGTTCTTATCACATGACATCACTACTCATGGAGATGTCAATGTGTGTGTGTGAATAATTCTGTGGTAACATGCCATGTTCTGTGGTATGAAAGCAATACATATAACTACCTTCCTTATCCCACCGCGTTGCTGTGAGGCAATGTCAAAGCCGAGCAGCTCGCCACGCGTCATGCACAATCCTCAAATGGCTAACCATCGTTGATGCTGAGCTTGGTGGCAATAATCTACCCAGAAAATATGATTCAGAACTATGGGATGATGTTATATATGTTATATAATTGGAGCAATTCATATTATGTCTAAATAGTGTCTTTCTATTATGGTAATATTATACCAATCTACCTACGAATAATGCCTCAAAAAGAACAAAACGATGAAGATTTATGAAAATTTAACCCGTTTTACACCAAACCATGCCTCTTTTCGGGGGCAGGGGGGGGTACTCATGGAAGGGCATATAGTACTGAGCACTGTAGCAATCGAAATGGAAAATTATCTGATCATATTTGTGTACCCGAAGGCAGTACTGCATTGGCTGGCAGTTGGCGAGTTGAACCACAGAGTCTGACCATCCTAATTGGTTGGGATCATCTGCCCCTTCATCAGCCCTTCAAATAGCGAACCTGAGATGTTCAACCGCCCTCACCGAGGTTTACAATGGTGATGTCCTTTTCAGAAAGGCCCTGGCGGTCGGTTTTACATACCCCCCGCTCTATCTTTCGGATATGTTGAATATTGATTGTTCAACGGGGGATAAGAACATGAAATTTATGCAATTTCATGAACAAAATTATTGTCATCCCTTCTCCCGACTAGTGTTTAAAAGTACCCCCCAGAAAAAAACTGGGGGAATATATATATAATATATATATATATAAAAATATATATATATATATAAAATATATATATATATATATTAGGTTACCTTCATCTACAGTATTCATCTTGGAGTCCTATGCCCGTCAAATTGATTTAGCCATTGTAAAACTTGCCCAAACTCTCCGGTTTCCTTGAATTTTGACCCGTTACCCTTAGGTCAGGGCTTAAAAACTGCCGAGAAACTGATGAAAATCCTTGTCCTTGGTTGTAACTTGTCGCCCCTGTCCCAGTCACTGCCAGTCACGTGTTTAAGACGATTGGAAAATTGATGCAAATTGGTTTATGCCATTTATGCATGTGCCGATTTCGATGTAGCGCAAACCCAACTTTGTCTGACAGTCTGTGGTGAAACGGTTGGAGCCACGATCTCTGATTACTAATGTTCATTTTGTTTGTATTGTCCGTATCTCTATGTCGTGCACTGAAATCTGTTCACCCTCGGTCGTATCCTCACGTTTTGGCGCTTGCGTCCTCTACTTGGGGGTCGAGAGAAGCTTGAGCACCAGGGATGATTCTGTTCGATTCTACCGTGCTCAAGGAATACCAGAAGATTTATGAAGATTTTGGTGTACTGATGTAGTAATAGGTCCCATTTTTAGGTCCAATGTATATCAAATCATAGTAAATGTTGCTAGTCCCCATACACATTTTTGTCCAGTCCACTGTCAAGGACGCACACACACACATAATATATATATAATGTCAACCCTGGATTAATAAACCCCTAGGCTGTTTAATTGGCAGGGTACCATTTAAGTATCAGATAATGACTATTGGAAGAGTACCCCCGCAATTAATAAACCATGGTTGGACCTTTCAGGTTGGTGAACTGATTGCACCCAACATGCTGTTCTCTATATGGGAGATTTCCCCCCCCCCGCCAAAAAAAGGGTGATTGCATAGGATTTAATAACCAATAACAGTGGTATCAAAACATATGTGATATGATATTAATATCCCACATATTCAAAATGTGCATCCCATGTAAACCTCTATATATATATATAGATAGACATATACAAACACACACACAGAGATAGAGAGAGAGAGAGAGATATATATATATATATGGTCCCGTCCTCCGTCTCTCCAC